TGGGGGTGTGGGGCTGGCAGGGGTATGGGGTAGGCAGGGGTATGGGGCTGGCAGGGGTATGGGGTAGGCAGGGGTACATGGCACAGGACTGGCGGGGATACGGGGTGCAGGGGTACGGGGCTGGCGGCGGTACAGGGTAGGCTTGGATACGGGGTACTGGGCTGGTGGGGATACAGGGTATGGGGCTGGCGGGATATGGGGTAGGCGGGGATACGGGGCAGGCGGGGATATGGGGTACGGGGCTGGCGGGGGTATGGGGTACTGGCTGGCAGGTCTATGGGGTACGGGGCTGGCGGGGGGTATGGGGCTGGCGGGGGTACGGGGTATGGGGCTGGCGGGGTGTACAGGGTACGGGGCTGGTGGGGGGGTACAGGGCTGGTGGGGTGTACGGGGGTACGGGGCTGGCAGGGGTATGGGGTGCATTTCGGGGGTGGCACAGTGTGACCCATTCTGTGAGATACTCACCGGCTTCACTGTGATCTCTTTCTGTAAAAGTCGGATTTCCTGAAAGATCAAAGTGGATTCTTATGAAACTGACTCAATCTTTTTGTTCTTTCCCTGAAATGAACAACATTCCATCAATTTCCACAAAACCTGAATACACACGATTCGGGCTCTCTCTCTTTTACCTTCTCGATTCTCAGAGTCTCTCTGTCACCCTAGGCACGTTAGCTGTACTTTTCCGCTGCTCCTACTGAGTAGGTTTATTCAGTCACGGAAAACAATTCACTCAATGTTCAATGACTAGGGGCTGTGTTAGCCCATCAGAATACAGTCTAAAACGTGCAGAGGAACATCTTCATTTTTTCTGTAAATGCTCAGTAAATTTTGGCCCAAGGCAGCTGGACTACAAGGAGGTGAGATTTTGTCAGAGCCCTGCACCTCAGGAGTGGGGGAGGAGATTCTCCAGAGCACCTCCCCTCCCCCACCCCAGCCAGAAAAGGGTTAAATGTGAGGTCAGAGATACCATAGTGTGGAGCTGGAGGAACACCGCAGGGCAGGCAGCATCAGAGAATGCAGGAGAGCTAATGTTTCGGGTCGGGACCCTTTTTCAGAGTGTGAGGTCAGGTTGAGCAGCCTGGCTTTGTATTTGTTTATGTACAGGCTACTGCATAATCTAATTGAGAGGTTTCAGATGTTTAAAGGATTTGGGAGGTGTTACAGTGAGAGACTGTCCTCTGGTTGGGGATTGGAAGAGCCAGGCTGTTGAGGGTGATGTCAGGAAACTGTTCCTGGCACAAAGAGCAGTGAGAATATGGAATTCTCTCCCTCACTCTAAACAATGTTGAGGCTGCGGATCCATTGAAGAAAACTGTGACCACAAGGATCGGAGCTGGGTCCACTGCTTTTCATCATTTATGTAAATGATTTGGATGTGAACATAGGAGGTATGGTTAGAAAGTTTGCAAATGACACAAAATTGGAGGTGCAGTGGACAGTGAAGATGGTTACCTCGGAATACAATGGAACCTTGATCAGACGGGCCAATGGGCCAAAGAGTGGCAGATGAAGTTTAATTTAGATAAATGTGAGGTGCTGTATTTTGGAAAGGCAAATCAAGGCAGGACTTATACACTTAATGGTAAGGTCCTGAGGAGTGCTGCTGAACAAAGACACCTTGGAGTGCAGCTTCATAGTTCCTTGAAAGTGGAGTCGCAGGTAGACAGGATAGTGAAGAAAGTGTTTGGTACGCTTGCCTTTATTGGTCAGTACATTGAGTATAGGAGCTGGGAGGTCATGTTGCAGCTGTACAGAACATTGGTTAGGCCACTTTTGGAATACTGCATTCAATTCTGGTTTCCCTGCTGTAGGAAGGATGTTCTGAGGCTTGAAAGGGTTTAGAAAAGATTTACAAGGATATTGCTAGGGTTGGAGGGTTTGAGCTATAGGAAGAGGCTGAATAGGCTGGGGCTATTTTCCCTGGAGTGTCAGGGGCTGAGGGTGACCTTATAGAGGTTTATAAAATCATGAGGGACATGGATAGGGTAAATAGACGGGGATGTGTAGGTTAGGTGGATTGGCCGTGCTAAATTACTCATGGTGTCCAGGGATGTGTGGGTTGGGTAGATTGGCCGTAAGAGGTGCAGGATTACAGGGATAGGGTGCAGGGGTGAGTCTGAGTGTGATGCTCTTTGCAGAGTCTGTGTGGACTTTTTGGGCTGAATGGTCTGTTTCCACACTGCAGGGATTCTATGATTCAAAAAGCAATCAATACCTGAAAATGAGTACTGTAATGTTCATCAACATTGACAATGTCCACCTCAACCCCACCCTGGACAAGGACGGTTTTAACCTTGGTGCCAGCGAGGTGAGTGTGAAGCTGTGAGGCAAAGATGTGAATCCCATTCTCCGGCAAACTCTGGAAAAAAAGCAAAATATCAACACTGATCCTGAATGGCTAGTGAACACCACACAAAGCATGACCGAGGGTAGGCTGGATATGCTTGTGATCTTCACTTGTTGGCTCTATTCACTCTCAGTACCCAGTCATTATCTCCTCCTGGTCAGACCTTGCTTCAGTGACTCTGACATCTAGTCCTCATTGTCTACATGCCCTGTCTGTCATTGTCCCAGTCACTCTCTGCACCATTTCTATCAATGGTTGATCAGTCTGGGACACCATACATATACTCACCTGCTCTGTGCATCTTGATGTACAATATCCACTGAGCTCAAAGTTTGCCTCACCAGGTGGAATAGCCATGACCGGAGTGTACACCAACCCCAGCTCGAGGATTCCTGCGTTGAACTTCCGTAAGGTGGGAGTGTAGAACAAGCGAATCCCAGAACTGTCCAACCTTCCTGCGATTGGGAATATTTATTAATGTTGTTAGCTGGACTGCATTCACCTGAAACCTGGCTGGTTCATCAAACACATGCTTCTGCTTTGGTTAAACCAGTTTACTGGGTTACACTGAGTCTAACCCAAGTTAAACAGGGTTATATTGGGGCTCACCAGCCCAGGTACCTGTGCCCAACCAGAGAATCGATTTACATTTCTCTGAAAAGATGTTAAATGTACCCACTTGTGCACAGAGAGAACTTACCAAAACTCCAGAATATGCATCCACCCATATGGCTCCACTGTGACCCTGGATTGCACTCATGCAGTCCTCAATTCAATAAAATTACTTCTCATTACTAGCAGATATTAATTTGGATAAACTCAGGAAGTTTCCTGTTTTACTGTTTTTTTCTAGTCGCTTACCTCATTTGATGTTTGTTACTTTTGAATCTGTGATCAAGATTAGTGTTTACATTCTGATGTCTGAGATGAGTTAGAATATAGAACAGTTTGACAGAGGAACAGGTCCTTCAGCCCACCCCCTTCTGTGCCAACCATGATGCTATTCTAAATGAATCCCATCTTCCTGCACATGGTCCATATCCCTCTATTCTCTGCCTGTTCAGTTGTCTGTCTAAAGGGGAGGCAATGGCCTAGTGGTATTATCGCTGGACCGTTAATCCAGAGACTCAGATAATGTTCTGGGGACCCGGGTTTGAATCCTGCCACGGCAGATGGTAAAATTTGAATTCAATATATATCTGGAATTAAGAGTCTTATGATGACCATGAATCTATTGTCAATTGTTGGGGAAAAACCCATCTGGTTCACTAATGTCTTTTATGGAAGAAAACTACCATCCTTACCTGGTCTGGACTACATGTGACTCCAGCCCCACAACAATGTGGTTGACTCTTAACCACCCTCTGGGCAATTAGGGATGGGCAATAAATGCTGCCTGGCCAGCGACACCCTCCTCCCATGAATAAATAAAGGAATATCACTTAAACGTTGCTATCAACTCTGCTTCTACCACCTCCCCTGGCAACACTTCCAGGCACCTACCACCCTCTGTGTAAAAAACGTGCCTTTAAACTTTACCCCCTCTCGCCTTAAACCTATGCCCCCTAGTATTTGACACTTCCACCATGGGAAGAAGATCCCAACTATGCCCACAATCGATGCCTCACATAATTTTATAAACTTCTATCAGGTCTCCCCTCAGCCTCTGGCACTCTAGCGGAAACAATCTAAGTTTGTCCAACGTCTCCTTGTAGCTAATACACTCCAATCCAGGTAATATCCTAGTAAACCTTTTCATACCCTCTCTAAAGCCTCCATATCATACCTATAGTGTGATGACCTGTTGGTAACAAGATTGCACTCTGTTACAAACGCAAACATTTTTCAGTTGACCTTACTGTGTTACTGAGCTTAGTCCTTCAGCTCAAGTCACAGAGATCTCTTTGTTATCTTCTCTGAGCCTCTCAAAACGTCAATTTTGTTTTTCAGATGCATTGGTTAAACTTTCAAAGTGCATTGACCCAATCATCTGTTACCCCTCCATCACTGACGCCTCCATCACTGATCCCTCCATCACTGACCCACACTCACACATGCATTCAGACACACACATACTCAGCCATATAGGCACATACACACACACAAACTCACTCATACAGACACACACTGACCAGCACACACTTACCAGACAATCTCAGTGGGTTGTGGTAATGAACTTCCAGCCGCAAATACTTTGAGAAATTGGCTCCTCCAATCATGAGTCCCACATCTTTTGGGTAATAGAATGGCTGCAATGGCAGAAAGAACTGGATTTCACTGAATGAGTAAATGGCAAATCTACAAACGACCTGTTGAAACACAGACTATGCTGGTACAGAGATCACTTCAAACTAATTTCTCCATGGCACACACTCCCCAAGAAACATTTCATCAAACATTACAAGGAAAGGAGATTCACCCAGTGTCCTCTAGGAGATTCAAACATTGGCTCCATACTAAAATAAGGGTCTGTACTGATGAAGCAGATTCCTCATAGCTGAGTGGGAGCGATGTTGTTAACTGAGAGGGTAAATAGGAAGGCAGCAAAGTCTCTGTTCAATCACACTATGATCTTAGTATGGTATGATCTGCCTGTACTGCACGCAAAACAACTTTTCTCTGTACCTAGGTACATGTGACAACAGTAAATCAAATCAAATACATCAACTTGTGGAAAGAATCTACCAGAAATGAAACAAACCTCAATACAAATAAAAGAGGAATGAGCATGTGATCGATTAGCTGAGGGAGAGCAGAAATACCCAGAAAATAAAGTGTTATATAGCAGAAGTGGCAAAAGATTTTAAAAAATGAATCTGCTTTTATAACTAATTTTCAAAGTGTCTGTAAGTTATCCCCCAATGTCTCTTGATACTCTTCCCTAGAGATTGTTTTCCCACAAGATTATTAATTAGCCTTTTCTCAATCCATCATCATAGATCGAAAATAGCTTGTTGCCTAATGATTTTCTTAATATGCTGCTCTCAAAACCCATCATGTAACTATTCCAGGAGTTTGCCCCTCCCCCCACTGAATTGATGCTCATTAGGTTTACCCAGACCCAGTCTGTATGTAGGTGGAAATCACCCACAATTACTGCATTGCCCTTGTTATATGGATCAATCAGACTTAACATTGGAAGATGAGATTAAAATAATATAACTACATGAAACACAGCATTGAGAGGATAAAAACCCTGATCCAGAAGGATAGAATTGTGTGTTTTAAAATGAGCTGGGAACAAGAAGCAGAGGCAGTTTTATACACATTGAGTCATAAACTAGCACCAGGATATCCCAGAGAACAGACAGAAACTGTCGAGAGAATTGTTGAGAACTCGGCTTAACGTCAGCAGTCAGAAAAATAATGGAATATTTACGAAAGGAGAGGATACCATCTAGGAGTGAGAAATACACGAATGAATAGTCAACATGGATTACAAAAGGAAATGTTTTGGTTGATCAGCCACACTGAATTCTTTCAGGAGGGAACAGAGAGAGCAGAGGAAGGTGATGTATCGATGTAATTTTTCTACATTTCCAAAAGGCCTTGGATAAAATGCCACATAATAAATTAATTCATCAAGTTTCTTCAAAGTTCTTCATATTGATCCGAAGCCTAACAAATTCAACTGGGATGCAATCATAGGCTCATCAGGGACCTGTAGATAACCAGAAAATTCCAAGGATGAAATAGATGAGGAAAGGACCAGTTTGATTTGACTAGTTGTTCGTGTCCAGAAAGGTTGCAGAGTTGGAATTGAATTAAGTGGGAGGTGGGATCTCACAGGATTAGTGCTGGAAATAGGGTCATTCATAATTATATTACAGATAGACAGCATGGTTTTGTGCAGGGGATGTCGTGCCTACTAACTCGTTTGAGTTTTTTTGAGGAGGTGACGAAGATGATTGATGAGGGAAAAGCAGTTGATGTTGTCTACATGGATTTCAGTAAAGCCTTTGACAACGTTCCATATGGCAGAACCCTCAGGAGTATTGATAGGAGAGGGATCTGGGTGTACAGGTCACAGATAACTGAGATGGCAGCGCAGGTAGATAAGGCAGTAAAAAAAGGCCTCTGGCATGCTTACCTTCATTGGAAGGGGCATTGAGTATAAGGATAGGCAAGTTATGCTGCAGTTTTATAGAACTTTATTTAGGCCGCACTTGGAATATTGCGTACAGTTCTGGTCTCCACACCACCAAAAGGATGTGCATGCTTTGGAGAGGGTACAGAAAAGGTTTACCAGGATGTTGCCTGGTATGGGGGATTTTATCTATGAAGAAAGGTTGGATAGACTGGGTTTGTTTTCACTGGAATGCAGGAGGTTGAGGGGTGACCTGATAGAAGTTTATAAGATTGTGAATGGCATGGGTAGAGTGGAAAATATGAGGCTTTTTCTCAGGGTGGAGGGGTCAAATACTCTGGGACACAGGTTCAAGGTGTGAGGGGGAGAAGTTTAAAAGAGATGTGTGAGGCAAGCTTTTCACACAAAGTTTGGTGAGTGCCTGGAACATGCTGCCAGAGGAGGTGGTGGAAGCAGACACAATAACAGCATTCAAGAAGCACCTGGACGAATACATGAATAGGAAGGGAATAGAGGGATATGGATCCTGTCTTTGAAGACAGTTTTAATATGGAAGGGCAAAATGTGTCATTGCAGGCTTGGAGGGCCGAAGGGCTTGTTCCTGTGCTGTACTGTTCTTTGTTCTTTATTAGCAATTAATGTTACGCACAGTTTTTATTCACCATTTAGGCTCTGAGATCACAAATACAGTTTCTGAGTTTGCAGATATTACCAATTGAGGTGGGGGCAGTGTGTGGACAAGTGGTAGGATATTCAAACCCTAGGATTGAATTAATTTACAGAAGACATGAATCAATCTGTAGAATGGACATTTCACTAACAAATGAATTTCAATGTCAATAAGGTGGAAGTCATGAAGTTTGTACAAACAGTAACAAGGTCAAGTGTTATTTGGAAAATAAGAAGTTAAATGAGATAGGAAACAACGGAATCTGGGATATAAATACACAAACCTTTAATATCCATCCATTCAATGACCAGGGCCCTCACTCACCTCCCCCACTCCCCCTTCCCCCCCACCCCCCACTGTGTCACCATGTGAGACCCTCACATTAACCCCGTACCCAATCCCCTCAATCTCATTTCCCTGACAACACTGCATGGTACAGTTACTGAATCAGAACCGCACCCCAGGACCTGGTCAGACACCTCCCCAGCCCCAGCCCCAGCCCCAGCCCCGCACTGACCTGCGCTCCCATGGCCCAGGCAGCCAGCACATGTCGGCAGAAGTTGAGCCGCGGAGGCTTCATTCTGGAGTCACAAGGGCCACTGTAGGATGGGATCCGGTCCAACTCTGGGGCGCACTGGAACACCTCCATGTGATGGACAATCGCTTCATTCCCCTTTGTGATCACTGGCTCATACTGAGCAGAGAAGGGTTAGGGTTAGAATCATAGAATCACTACAGTGTGGAAACAGGCCCTTCGACCCAACAAGCCCACACCAACCCTAACAGCACCCACCCAGACCCATCCCCCTATAACCCACCTCACCCACACATCCCTGAACACTACAGTAATTTAGCATGGCCAGTCCACCTAACCTGCACATCTTTGAACTGTGGGAGGAAACTGGAGCACCCAGAGGAAACCCACGCAGACACAGGGAGAATGTGCAAACTCCACACAGACAATTACCAGGTCCCTGGCACTGTGAGGTAGCAGTGCTAACCGCTGTGCCATCATGCCACGGTCAGGGTGAGGATAAGGGTCAGGGTCACGGTGAGGGTCAGGGTCAGGGTGAAGGTGAGAGTTTGGGTCAGGTCAGACTGGAGTCAGGGTGAGGGTGTGGGTCAGGGTCAGGGTGAAGGTGAGTGTCAGGCTGAGGGTGAGGGTTTGAGTCAGGATGGGGTGAGGGTCAGGGTGAGGTTGAAGGTCAGAGTGAGGGTCAGGGTGAAGATGTAGTCCAGGGTGAGGTTGAGGGTTAGGGTGTGGGTCTGGGTCAGGGTGAGGGTGAGGGTCAGGTTGAGGGTGAAGATCAGGGTGAGGTTCAGGGTCAGGGTTCTGCACAGAGACTGAGTCCTCAGGGGGAAAGAGCTGGACAATGTCTGTGTCTCTCTCTCTCTTAAAATGATTCAGAGTGAATTCTGAGGTTTCTCCACATTGACCCAGAGCCTATCCTAATAGTAGATCTGCATTGTGCTGCTGTTCGGGGAGGTATGTGGTCACAGGCTCATTCCCAAACATCGGGAGGCAGCTGCAGGTTTCAGCACATTCCAGGAATGAAACAGTGAAGAAAAGGACCTTTGTTGACGGGTGTTTGTCCCTAGAAAAGTTTTTGCCTCAGATGCTGTTTGAAATCAGACTTTGTGGTCCAAACAAAGTCTGATTCAACAGCTGTAATGATTCTCAATCATCTTTACAGATCATACCTGGTTCATTGTCCTCCAGATCTTCAAGCATTACCACAGCTTTCAGTGTGAAATAAAATCATATTCCATTGCGGGCGTATGTTAACAACACAAAGCCTGTGTATTAGTGAGTCGTTAAAAGCCATTGAGAGGGCTAATGGTTCCTTTTCTCAGCGAATAATCCTGAGCACTGAGTTCAAATCCCACTGTGCCTTTTCAAGAATTTCAGTTTATCAAAATCTGACTGTGTCACTGTGGGATTGTTAAACCTCAGCTGATTCACAGTTTTTTTTTAGGAAGTATTCTTTCAGGCTCTGACCTTATGTGTGACTCCTATCTGGTTAACTGTTTAATTCCTTCTGAACGGGCTCAATAACACACTCAACTCAGGACAAATAAAAACAGAAAAATGCTGGAAATGTGTAGCAGGTCTGGAAACAGTGGAGAGCCAAACGGTTACAGACATGAAAGAATGTGGGTTGAATTTTCAGGATGGGTCACCCCCTGTGCCCAATGGCGATATTATGCTGTAAGCGATCTTAGCTACTGACTGGCCAGCAGTTTCTTGCAATCCCTGTAGCACCAGTGCTCAGTGTAGGCTCTGCTTTGTCTGTATCTCAGAATCCACAGAATTATGATGCAGAAAGAGACCATTCAGCCCATCATGCTTGCACTGGTACCTTTACTTAGTGCTAGTCTTCTGAGATTTCCCCTGTATTCCTGTGCACCATTTCTATCCAAATCATCAAAGAGGGTCAATGGAGCCTGAGAAACTTCAGGCTAGGTATGGAGTGGGATCTAGTGCCCCAGTACAGGGCACAGGCAATGTGGTGAGGCACAACAAGAGAAGATTTTGAGGTGCATTCTCTCAATATGCTCAGGGCGTACCTGAGCATTCCCCTCCCAAATGATGTCACCCTCTTCCCCACTTTCACTAGAATCAATGGAAATGACTTTGCCACTCCCACTGCACCGCACTGCTCACCGTCCTGTGCTCCCCACTGTACTACAGATCTCCTGGGGCTGGAATTAGATCCTTCATTTGCTGGGTTAGTGGGTACTGTACCAACACCCACCCTGTAACACAGGGATAGCTACTCACCCAGCCTTCACACTGTACCTGCCTTCTGCTGGAAACATGCAAGAGGATGGGGTCTTAATTAACTCTGTTCTTCCACACACATTGTCGGGGCGGCTTCCTTTGTTTTTACTTCTGTTTCCAATCTCCACAGTGTTATATTTCTGACTCTGTTCAGGACAACTAAATAATGGCATCAGATACTGGGCATGGCCCCAGAATGAGAAAAATAAAAATAAAACTTCAAATCAAGTTGGCATCAGGTAATGTTATTATACAATTAATCCCAACACCCAGGCTTAAACCCTGGAGACATGGGTTCAAATCCAAACACAATAACTGGAGAATTTAAACTCCATTACAATATCTGGAACTGAATGTTCGTGTCAGATACAGTGACCATGAAATCATCATCGATTATTGTAAAAACACACCTGTTCACAAGGTCCTTCAGGGAAGGAAATCCACTCTCCTTACCTGGTGTGGCCTATTCGTGACTCCAGACCTCACAATGATGTGGATGACTCCTAACTTTCCCATGGGCAATAATATTTGCCCGTGATCACAAATTGTTCTGGCACATAAGGTCCTTCATTCCATCATGCTTGCACTGGTGCATTACTTAGAGGCAATCTCCTGCCCTTGCCCTGTATTCCTGCACTCCATTTCTATCCACGTAACCAGCCAGTTCCCTCTCAAATGTCTTGATTGAACCTGGCTCTACCAGCTTTTCAGACAGTGCCTTCCAGACCTGTACCACCTACTGGGTGAAAGCATTTTTCTCACATCACCCATGCTTCATTTACGCATCATTGTGAGACGTGCAAATCCCCATGAAATGATAAAAAAAATTGTCTGGGCCCTCTGCAGCTGAGTCTCTCTGACACATTCACACACCCTCCACTCCCTCACCCTCTGCTCTCTCACCTCTGCTGCCTCCACTCCCTCCCTCTGCTCCTTCATCCTCCACTCCCTCATCCTCTACTCCTTCACTCTCCACTCCCTCACCCTTCGCTCCCTCACCCTCCGCTCCCTCACCCTCTGCTCCCTCACCCTCCCTCTGCTCTCTCTTCCTCTGCTCCCTCCCTTCCTCCCTCTTCCCTCTCCCTCTGTCCCTTCACAAAGTTCTGGTATTGGTGTTCACCATTTCGACATGCTGTTACTTGCCATGACAATGTGATGCGCGGGGAGGTGATGGGGCAGTGTGCTGATATAACACCAGTATGTTGTCTCCTGGTCAGGGATAGTAACGTTGGGGGTGAGGACCTCCAGCACCTTAATATCTGAGGGCAGTGGTGGTGTGTGAATCATTGGCTTCAGAAGCTGTACTCGCTGCAGGCCACCAGGCATTTCCTTCGGATCTATTGACTTCAATGATGTTATCGGCTGGTTGAGGAATCTGTATAGAAGGTGCACTGTTCCACCCTAGAGTGAAGAGAATAAACAGTTGGACACAGATACACCTTGCATTCCCAGCCCATCAGGTTCTATAAAGGACACAAGGCACACTGTCCAGTTAGAAATATTGAAATAAGAGAAACATCCAGCTTCAAGCAGCTGACTTCGAACGCACCTCAATGATGTAGTCTCTTTGATCGCAAGTATTGAATGGTCTCTTGAAGGTGAGGTAGAGGCCTTGGGCAGATTGGTGAGCATCAATCAATTGGTAATCTTGCTGGGTGTCCAAATGAATCCGTGCCTCTTCATCAGTCCAAGCATCCTAACAACACAGCGCATGAATTCAGATGAAAGAAAGACACAGGCCAACTTTCCAATGAGACTGTATTGTGCTTTGATTGTGAGTGTGCGTGTATGTATGTGTGTATGTGTAAGAGAGAGAGAGTGTGAGTGTGAGTTGAGAGAGACACAGTGTGTGTGTGTGTGAGTAAGTGAGAGAGTGTGTGTGTGTGTGTAAATGTGAGAGAGTGAGTGTGTGTGAGAGTGTGTGTACGTGTGAGAGTGTGTTGTATATGTACCTGCGGTCACTAAGGCTCATTGTGAGATCTGATACAATCTACAGGCTCACAATGACCAGGGACTGTGTCGGGCTGTTTGGGAAGTGCAGTCACTCCTGCTCCTGAATTCCTGTAAACGCTATACCTGACTTACCCCAAAGTAGGAGTTCTGACCGTCACTCCAAAGAATGGCCAGGTCAGCATTCCGAATGTCTCCTCTGTCTGACATTCCGAATATTATCCCAAACTTCAACTGTCTGATCAAAAGACGGAAATACACAACTTCCTGTGAATAGCTGACATTCCAGTCCAATTCTGCCACTCCCTGGGGATCCAAAGGTACCCGATAGGGAAAGGAGCTGTGCCTGGGGCTGGTGGGGTTAAATGAAGACACCAGGACCCCGAGAATGATCAGCAGAGTGGTCAGGTAGATGCAGATAGTCTCTCGGAGTCTCAGACTCTGCCTACACTGAGAATCCCTCATTGTTAAAGACCTTAAGTGAAGCAGGAATCAGCACTGTTGCCTCCTTTAAGGAGAATGGTCAGCCTGGATCGAAGTTCTGATCAAATTACAGCTCAGCCTCTAGGCAAACACATTTCATCCTCACCTAATCTTATTAGAAAAGCTCATCATCAGGAAACTGAAAGAAGCCAGCTGCCCTTTAACCATTTTAGTTGATCTCTCTTTTTAATTTATCAGGTAAAAAATAGCAAATGCACTTTCACTGCCCTGTTTTGTTCAATCACTGAAAGTTCAGTTTTCCCGCAGTCATTTCATGGTGCTTGATATAATTCTCCTGTCCTTAAACATTTCGCCACTCAGCTCCTCCACCTCTCAGATACTCACAAAACATTGCAAGAAAGTGAGACCACAAACCATGAAGTTGGTCTGATTGCCAGATAAAGAAATTGAGGGGGGTGGTTGGATTCAACGAGATGATGATCATGGGATGACCACACAGGATTAACCCACTGAGCCAGGAAGCCCAAGTTCAATTCCAACCTGCTCCAGATATGTGTAATAACATCTCCAAATAGAAGATAGCTATAGGATAAATCCTGGTAATGGTGCAGGTGGCACAAAGTTGAATTCAGATGGTTCTTTTGTTCTACTCAGCACGAAACACAATGTCTTGTGACAGTCCATCACATCATGGTGCTGAGTTCATATGAAATTACCACCACTTTAGAGGCAGCTTGCATGAATTAATAGCAACTTCTGACTGCAGCAGATGCAGGAACTGTACACACAAGTGCCTTAGTGCAGGAAAGACAGCTGAAGTGGGTCAATGGACCACAAAGTGTGCCTTGTTGACTTAGAAATCAGCGTTGGAAGCTTTGATGCAGGAGGTCCACAGGAGTACAAATGTTCACTGTAGTGGGAACCAGTCAGGAGCAGAGAGCTTTGCAGGTTAATGCAGATAGTCTACTTCTGAGGAATGGATGTAGTGTTGAAAGACACTCACTGACTGCACAAGGTTTGTGAATACAACTTCACCTATCACAATGCACCAGTTGTACCTGAGGGTTTACATTGTGCTCAGTGCATGCACTCCCATCTTGAATAATAACTGTCTCAATCAATCAGGACACGGGCTAAACATTCATAGCTTCAGCTCACTTTCACATACTTGGTGTTGATGTAAGGCTGATACCCAGCTCACACACCTTGCACATACTGACAGCTGTTCAATCCTGATCACTACAACATCCAAATGTATTACACCATAGTCACTGACATACTTCCCTTCCACCTGCAGGCAAAGATGGTGCACATCTGAAGGCAGTAACATGCCTCAGCCTTACAGAAGATGCTTGCCATCATTAGACGGGCCACGTCTAAGGCAGTAACATGTGATCAGGCTGAAAAGATCAAAGGTGAAGATATACTGCTAATCAAATGTTCTTCCTCACATCCCACTTCCCCACACCACACAATCTCTGCAGATTCCCAAGTTGCACATGGAATAAGCAAGCAACTGTGATGCAGCGTCTGGTGAACAATGTTTCAGCTTCCTTTTCTTTCATTCTTAATTCGGGAGATGGGGGCTTTGCTGGCTGGTCCTATATGTATTGCCCATCGCCTTTCCCCTGAGATGGTGGTGGCGAGCTGCTTTGGGAGCATTGCAGTATAAGCTGAAGTCTCCGAATATCCTAATGCTGTAGGGAAAGTTTGGTCTGCAGTAATGCAAGCTCAGTTTGTTACAATGCAAGCAGGTTCATCTGAATATAGAAATTACAAGCAGCAATAGGTCGCTCAGTCCCTCATACCCATTTCACTTTCCAATAAGATTATGGCCAATCTAATTACTCTACATTCCCAACTACCCCCAATAATGAGATAACAAAGTGTAGAGCTGGATGAACACAGCAGGTCAAGCAGCATCAGAGGA